CAGCAACAACGTGGGCTAGCCTGAGGTCAACCGCTATGGACCTGCCCTGCACTCCCATGCAGGGAAACCCACAGAAACACCTAGACAGGAAGGGAGGTCCCAGCAGGAGATGGCAGGTGGGCACACGGGGACCCAGTAGGACCTGAAGAGCACCAGGGCTGCCTCCCCAGGTCTTCCTGTTCTGGCAGCTGCTGGTTGCATGATGGGCGGGGAGTAAGTCTCATCATAACAGAGAAATGGACCGACCTCACAGGACTGCCGAGGCCTGAACCATCAGGATGCAGTGCGGGCCTCGACACAGAACTGGGGCTCAACGAAATGTCAGTTCCTGGGGCTTTTAGAAACCTCCAAAAAGAACATATTTCTTCTGAGAAGCAAAGGAAACAAGCCCTGCAGGTGAGTACAGAGGACAGCTGCTGGGGCTGGCAGGGCACAGGAGGCAGAGGGACTCCGAGCCATGGCGAGGACTTCAGAGGCTCCTACTCGAGAAGTGCGACGCAGCCTACCACGCCTAACCGCCGGGGCAAGCTGGTGCTGGTCGCAGGGCATCCGCACCAAGCACCTTTTCTGGCACAGGCTCCACGGCGGCAGCTTCCACGGAAAGAAACAGCTCCGAAACGCTCGGCTTGAATCCCGACTCCATCACTTCATAGTTCCGTGGCCGTGGTAAAGTGGCCCAACTTCTCCAGGCCTTTAGGGTTTTTCTAACAACTAAAGGAGATAAGAACTAATATTTAAAGAACTTAAAGCAAGCCTGACACACAATACATGCCCAGTAAACATGAGAAAGAAAAAACAAGAAGGAAAAGCCGTGACGCTGGCTGGCACCAACGCGTCAACCACACTCTGGCCACTCCAGAGGCAGGGCACAGCGTTCCGAACGCGTGACCTCACTGGAAACACTGCAGACCACTCAGGTGCCCTCGCAGCTCTGCGTAGGAGGTGCCCAGGAATCCAGCATCCCTCATACGGCGCCCGCCCCAGGGTCGAGGCCAGCACATGATGTGCTGGGCAAAGGAGAAAGGCAATGACAGGAGAGCGGGCCGCAGAGGCCACGGGCCCCACGAGCTCCAGCTCGCAGCGCTGTGTGCTCTGAGGCATGCACGATATCCGAGTTACCCGTGGGACCAGGGGTCAGGCTGCTGAGGCCTGCCCCTGAGAGAACACGGGGTACCTCGCCGTCACACCACAGCAGGCGGCTTTTCCCTGCACCCAAGAGCGCTGTCATGCACCTTGGTCCCCCTAACACGGCACAGGGGTAATTCTCAGCTAGACACTAAGAGCCGAATCACGGAATGCCAGGGGAATGATGAAGCCTGTTTAAACAGAGCGGTAAACAATCAATCACTCCCAAACACAGTCAACTAAAGGAATCTTACCAGCAAGGACGGCTTTTTCCCCCCTTTGCTATAGGGTGTATATGTTCACCAGAGAGAAACAGAGGGGGGAAAGTGAGAGGGCACCTCCAGTGGGGATGGCCATGCTGCAATCCCTTCTCCACTCTCCTCCCAGGATTCTGGGCATGCACACCACACACCTGGCATGCTTTTCAAGCCACACGGTCAGGACTCCCAATACACAGCAGGCCATGCGGGAACCCGCCCTTAACCTCCATGCTCTGGTCAAATTCTTAAAATATTAATAATGATGAATAAAATAAAATAATTATTTTCTTAAAAATTATTTTCTTATTTAATTTTATTTGTTATTATTATTTATCTGTTAATTTGACTAAAGGGGAAAAAAGAGAGAGAAGTGAGTAAGCAAGCTGCCAGGTCAGGGACTCAAACCACAGTTGGCCATGTGGGAGTCCAGCACCTTAACCACCATGCCACCTACTGGCCCCAAAATAATTTTTTTAACGTAATAGATAGTGTTCAATAAAGAAGTATATATGGGAGCCGGCAGGTGGCATGGTGATTACGGTACTGGACTCCCACATGACCAACTACAGTTCAAGTCCTGAACCTGGTGGCTACAATCCCACACTCCCCACCCAACTCTCCCTGGTCATTTTTTTTTTAAAGATAGTAATAATAAATAAAATAAATAATTATTTTTAAAGAGCATAAATGAGCATGCAGACGTTTTTAAAGTTTGCTAAGTGAATTTCAACATCATTGGTTTCCTTTGAAACTTCATGCATTTTATCCTAGCATTAGAACATCTTTCTGGAAAGAGGTACACCACCCTCATCAGTGTCAGCAGGATCCACAGCACAAAAACGGGCCGAGAGGACTGCACACCACACATGGCATCCGTGCCGATCAGGGAAGGAGCCGGTCCTCCTGCTTTCACGCCGTGTCTCCTGGTAGTGACGGCTCAGGTAGGGCCCAGGACACGTGCATGAATACGTGAACTCAGCCAGTCAAACTCCTCCGTAAAAATGACCATCTTATAAAAACACAGCCCAGCACTCCAGCTGCAGCTCAAGGTCCATTTATCCGATGATGTCACTGACACGATAAAACGACAATGGCACAAAGGCACCGAAAAGAGGCTTGGCAATCCACTAGAAGGCCACGTGACACAGAAAAGGGCTAGCGAAGGAGACAGGTTCACATTATGGACGACGTCTGCACTCAACGTCTATCTTCAGGAGGGGCAGAGGAACATGGAGGGGGCTGGAATGGGGGCAGCAGCCCCATGTCCAACACGCCCCACCGAGTGTCGCCTGCCGCTCAGGTCTGAGGGGGTGCCGGGGCTCACGTGCTGGAGACGAAGCGCTCGGTGCAATGGTGCTGCGAGACGGGGCCTAACCAGCGGTGATGAAGGGTAGCGGGCACCGTCATTACCGTGGGAGTGGGCCAGCTACGCAAGTGAGTCCCTCCCCCGGATACTGACCACAGCCCCGAGCCTTCGCAGGTACTCCTCTACTCAGAGCTCCGGCTGGCTTCCGCTCCACGTCCGGACTGCTCACACGCCACCCTCTACAGAGGTTTTCCTCTCCGAAATCACGGCCCGTGCCTCTGATGCACAACTGCTCTCTATGGCACGTCGGTACTCATCAGGACCTGAAGTTCCCGCAGGATCGCTGTTTATCAGGGATTATCAGCCCTATTTGGGAGGAGCCTCTAAAAAAATGCCAAGGCTCCAGGCCTCACCCAAACCAATTACATCAGCATTTTAGGGAGTGGGGACAGGCATCTCTAGCCCACAAGCCCCCAGGCGATTACTGGTTCACAATCTCAGACCCTGTCCCAGTGGGCCGGGAACACACCTGGCACTCTGCTGCCAGGCAGAGGCAGGCTCAGCAGGTCTGGGTGGGATTTGAGGCTCTGCAACCCTAACACACTCCCAGGTGATGCCACCATGCTGGCCACCAGGCCATTCTCTGGGCTGCAAGGGTCCTCAAGAACTTTCTGCAATGACGATGTTCTAAATCTCTACTGACCAATGCAGTAGCCACTGGCCACACGTGGACACTGAGCCCTGGAGGTGTGACCAGTGAAGCTGAGGAGCTGAGTTTCACTCTTAGGCTACACAACCAAAGACCCCCGAGGGGGTCTTTGAAAAGTTCATGGGATATACTAAAAAAAGTATGCATGGATTTCACAACGTTTTTGCACCAAAGTAAATTCATAATTTATTTCCTATTTTTCATGAAGATTTTAAGAATCATTCATTTAATTTTTATTTATTATTATTATATTTAAATTTGACCGGGGTGGGGGGCGGTGTGAGAAAGCAAGCTGCCAGGTCCGGGACTTGAACTGCAGTTGGCCACGTGAGAGTCCAGCTTAGCCACCACACCGCCTCCATTAAGGTTTTTGTTTTTTTTTTTTTTTTTGGGGGTTTTTCCTTTTAGGGCGCGTGCGCCTCGCCAGACAGAGACAGAGAGACAGAAAGCGAGAAATCACCCCCCAGGGGGGATGGTCATGCCGCAATCCCTTCTCCTCCATTCTCCTCTGGGGAGCTTGGGCACGCATGCGCTCGCGCCCGGCGTGAGTTCTAAGCCACCGGGTCCAGGACTCAAACCACGGTTGACTACGTGGGAGTCCAGCGACATAGCCATTATACTAACTGCTGGTCCCTCCTCCATTAAGTTTTTGAAGTCCCCTCCCTTATGCTACTAATGTCTCTAAATGGAGGGTAGAAGAGAGGAAGCGAAGGTCACCACGCATTCCTGGTCTGGGCAGTCCTCTGTGAATGGGTGGCCGCCGCCTCAGGTGTGCATAGGAGGTGCTCAAGGCAGGGGAGCGGACGTGGAAGACCACACTGACCCTCCCAGGGGCTGGGCACGTAGAAGCCCACACGTGACTACCTGGACTTCAGGCAAGCCCCTCCCTGACCACTGCCCAGGCGCACTCACTGGCCCACTCCCGCCCTGCGTAGCCACAGGGTCCTGGACCCTCTTCTGGCCATGGGCTTCACTGCCCTTCGCTGCACTGATGGGGTTCCAGGGTCTGTATCTCACGCTACAGAGAACACGTTCCTATTGGTGTTCTACTCCTTTCCCGCTGCACTGACGGGGTTCCAGGGTCTGTCTCTCGCGCTACAGCGAACACGTTCCTATTGGTGTTCTACTCCTTTCACCCAACACACAGACTCGCGCACCAGAGAACTCAACTCCTGGATGAATGGCAGAGCCTGGCGCCCACCAGGAGGGAAGGGCTTAGCACTCTTACCATTAATCACAAGAAAAACTGAATTTGGCAGGGGGAAAAAATCACGTTAAGAAGAGAAGATGGGTGCCAGCAGATAGCATACCGTTTACATCGCTGGACTCCCACGGGGCTGACGGGGGTTCAAGTCCCAGACCAAAGAAGAGAAGATGGTGTGAATGATCCCGAATTTTCCGGATGCAGAAGTTCAGACTCGAGAGCACGGAATAAAAAGATGGCCCCGCTGGCCCCAGGAAGGTTCCGTCTGAACGCACGAGTGCACTGTGCAGAAAGGTGCGGCCTTCCCGGATCACCAGTCCCAGCCTCCTATCGGGAATGTGAAATGTGACAGAGCTTTTTCAAACAAGTCACAAAAGGGCTAAGACTCAGACTCACATTCTTGCCTCGGAAGCCACAGGCCTGATTCCCACTGTAACTGCTGGGAGGGGATCCGGCCCGAGACCCCCTGGGAGCTCACCCGGCCCAGATGCTCATTCAGCCCCTGCTCTTAGAACCCTGTGCTTGTGACAGCGATGAGATTTCCAAGGTAACCGGGGACAACAGAGCACAGAACCATGGCCCCGGAAGGAAGTTGATTAAATTTTAATACTTACAAGTCAACATCAAATTTATTTTTAAAACTACGTCAATGCCAAACGAACAAGGCAGAGTGGATAATGTTTTAATGGAGGTCTAACTAAAACCATGGACACTCCAACAGGGACGCAATTTTCCCTCTTTTCAGGGTATGTCGAAGAGCTCAGGGGCAAAGCAGCTCGAGGTCGGAGGGGCAGAGCTCACCTTTCAGATGTAGACCGCGATGGCTTATTTTTTCCAAGAGTTCCCAAAACACAGGGCAGACGCCAGTTGCAGCACCAGACTTTGCTAATGGGCTAGAATCGTGCAAAACAACCACTTCGCCCAGAGAAAGTGACCTCCAAGTGAGAAATTTAAAACACAGCTTCCCCTGCTGCCCAAACACAAACTGGTCAAAAAAAAAAAAAAGCATGGCTCATCAGAGGCCTGGGAGTTTTTACACTTGCTCACTGAGTCATCAGCCCCCTACACCCATCCCTCCCCCCAGGTAAATCCCACCCTCATGAGAACGCCCCTGCGAGTGTGTGCACTGAGAAGATGTCAAGCAGTGAGTATTTACTGCACCAGATGTCGGCCAGGTTTGCTATTACTTCATTAACCCCCTCCTCTGAAGCAGACAGGCATTGTTATCCGGACTTGACGGCTGAGAAACCAAGAACACCTCGGGTGGCAGACCAAGGTCACAGAGGTGGCAGGTAGTACAACCTGACTACGGTGCCACTTACTGAATTCAGCGTGACAGTGACGGAAACAGGACTGCTAACCCAGAGCCTGGGGGTGAGGGAAGCCAGCTCGCACTAGGCCGACTTCGCAGTTCCAGTAACGACCCTGGCGGCTCGAAAAATACACCTCGCTCATGGACGTGTGCCCACAGCCCAACAGGGCGGAGACGTGCAGAAGTGACTGCAGCGTGGCTGTGCCCCATTGGGGTCTGTTTTCTCCCTCTCCCTGTCTCCCTCTCTCTGGGAGCACATGCCCGCTGGTAAGTTAAAAAAATAAATAAATAAATAAAAAACCAGGAAGGAGAGCCTCTCTCTGGGAGCACGTGCCCGCTGGTAAGTTAAAAAAAAAAAAACCCAGGAAGCAGAATAGTTTCTGAAAACAGCATGGAGCCAAGTCCAAGTTCTACCAGCTCTGTAAGAGCAAATGAATCTTGGGACCAGCAGTTAGCGTAAGGGCTATGTCGCTGGACTCCCATGTAGTCTACCGCGGTTCACGTCCTGGACCCGGTGACTTAAAACTCACGCCGGGTGCGTGTGCGTGCGTGCCCAAGATCCCGAGAGGAGAAAGGAGGAGAAGGGACTGCGGCATGGCCATTCCCCCTGGGGGGTGATTTCTCGCTTTCTGTCTCTCTGTCTCTCTGTCTTTTTGGTGAGCGCATGTGCCCTATAGCAAAAACCTCTCCAAAAAAAAAGAATAAATGAATCTTCTGGCCTCGACGTCCTCCTCTATAAAGTAAGGGTGAAAAATAAGTACAACAGATGTGAGTGAAGTCGGAAGAACAGCGCAGGGACCAGATAGCTACCAACAGCCCAGATCCAGATGCGCAGATCAGAAACATCTCAGTTGTAAGACGGGTTTATTTTTTGGAGCGGTTTTTGCTATAGGGCGCATGCGCTCTCCAGACAGACAAAGAGAGACAGAAAGCAAGAAATCACCCCCCAGGGGGGACGGCCACGCCACAATCCCTTCTCCTCCATTCTCCTCTCCAGATCTTGGGCACGCACGCACACGCACCCGGCGTGAGTTTTAAGTCACCGGGTCCAGGACGTGAACCGCGGTAGACTACAGGGGAGTCCAGCGACATAGCCATTACGCTAACTGCTGGTCCCAGTTGTAAGACGGTTTTTAACAGCCCTAACCTACACTAGAACCAACAGGGTCATAAAGGTTCATCAGTTTAAAATCACCTTACTGGGACCAGCAGGTGGCATAGTGGTTGGGATGCTTGACTCCCTCATGGCTAACAGCGATTCGCATCCTGGACCTGGTGGCTTGAAACTCATGCCAGGTGCGTGTACATGCATGCCCAAAATCCCAGGGGAAAAATGGAGGAGAAGAGGTTGCAGTGTGGCCATCCCCCCAGGGGGTGATTTCTCACTTTCCCTCTCACTCTCTGTCTCTTTGGCAAATGCATACTCTCTATGGCAAAGAAACTAAAAAAATAAACAAATAAAATTACTTCACTAATTCTATGACATTTGTTTAACATGGGCCCATTGGCTTACAAAATTTCAATTTATACTTGTTAAATAACTTTATGTCACAATATCCACTCTCTCAGATCTCTTCTCTGTATGAAAAGTAGATGTTTGTTTAAGACCAAAATATTGTGAGAATAATTTCTTATAAAAGTGTACATGGGACCGGCATGTGACAAAGTGGTTGTGGCACTGGACATGGCCAACGGCACTTTGAGTTCCAGGCCCAGCTGCTTGAAACTCACACCCAGAGTGTGTGCATGTGTACCCCAAATCCCAAGAGAACGGAGGAGAAGGCATTGCAGAGTGGCCACCCATCTCCCCCAGGGGAGTGATTTCTTGCTTTCTGTCTCTGTGTCTCTGGCCAGTATATGCATCCTATAGCAAAAAATCTCTCTTAAAACCAAAAACCATACCTAGAATAAGTTTTGGTAATGCCACCAAACATTTTCTTTTTGAAGCTTGTTATGTGAACCAAACATTGAGCACTCTAGAAAAGGAACACTATTTAAAGGACTCCACACTGATTCCCCTCAAAAATAAACAACATTCAAATTTAGTTATAAATCCAAGTTCACACATACCGTCACTGTAGCATGGCAGATCTGCTTACAGTGAGATCAACCTGCAAACCTGCAATGATTTTAATTTTTCCATTGAGACATGAACCAATTTTAGGGTTTAGATAGCAACACGAAGCCAGCTTGCAATTTAATAAAATGACCAAATCCAGCCTCTTTCATCTGCTCAGTAACTGAGCTCTAGGGTAATCTCCTGCACAGCATACAGAAAGAGCTTTGGAATTACACACTGCAAACTAAAATTAATCAGAGAAAGGGTATGCCAGTTTTAATAGCCATTCCTATCTGCCTGGCTTTCCAGCATCTGCCAGTGTTAGCAATATTTAGCTGACAAAACGCAGTGGGGGCAAAGCAGCACAACTTTAATCCCAGTCGAGCTTTTCCTCCAAGGCCTCACGACACAGCGTCCTTCCCCTACCTGTTCTCTACCTTTCTGGCCGCAGTCATTCCATAAACACTCGTCAGGGTGTACTTTCTACATGTGAGTATTTTCCTCTTGCTGTTCAGCTATGCTTCTGCAAAAACTTCAAACGCCCATCTGCACCTACCTCACGCGAAGGCATCGTTTTTAAGTCCTGCTGTTTAAAAGAATTCAGTGATCTTAGATCACTGAGCTGGCTACCAAAGGTTTCCAGGCAGCCCTTTTCCGCCAAAAAACAGGAGAAGGAAGCGGGGAGAAAGGATGCCCAAGTGCTACTTCCGAAATTCGGAATGCTGAATCGGTTATTTTGATTAGCCTATTGACTGTTTATGTCTACAAGGGAAAAAATTTCCATTAAGGGAAACCATTCTAGATTTTTTTCCCCATGCAACTCCTAACAGCAGATGCTTTGTTCAAGTGGGGGGTGGGGGAGATAAATTAATGTCATGGCTTAATTTAAAGCTCTGGTGTGACTTCACCCAGTCTACCCAGGCATTTTCTTCTAAGATAACCTACAACACCCAGTTCAAACACTGTAACTTGACATTCTGGCCAAGAGGCATGGAATCACCCATTCACCAGCGCCACAGTGACTTGTGGACCGGTGACCTAGTGTGGGCCAAGCGCAGCGTGAAACACTAGACACACAGGGTCCCTGATCCTGAAAAGGCCGCATTCCATCCCGTTTGGTAGGTGGGAGATGAGCATGGCGGTGAGGACTGCTCCAAACCACAGCCAGCGAGCCCGGCTTGGCTCTGGAGCGCCCTTCACACCGCTCTAGCTCTGCACTCCAGCCTAAGCGTCTCCATCACCCTCCCCAGGCTCAGAGCTCCCGGTTAGCTGAGAGGCATGATGACTCTGCACCTCGACAGCACCTCACTAACGTCAGGCCTCCTCCAGGTGAAGGGGGAGGGGAGGCGTTCAGGGTCCAGGCAGGTAAGACACAGGTAGCCGGGCAGAGGCTCCGGCAGGCCTCCCGGCCCTGGCAGCCAGCGCCCTGCACACGCCCTGCCTGCTCCTCGCCCCGGGCACGGGGTGCGATGCGGCCAGGCCTCCTGGCTGAGGCGGGCACACCTTCCTGGCAGCCCGGGCTCCCCCGCACAGACTCGCGGGGCGGGGCACTGCGGGGCTCGGAGCCCAGGGCTCCCCGCGCTCACCACTTCCAGAACAAGTTGGCGAGGTCCGCGTC